GTTGCAATTCATAATATTCATGATATGTAAATATTTTGACAATTAATTTATTCTCTCTCTCTGTAGATCTAATATCTGTTAACCATGACTGATTCCAGTTTCCCTGGACTTGGACGCGGTAGTCTTTTAAATAACAGACCATGCTCTGTACCACCCAAGGTACAATTGGCACCGCGATTTGACCCTCAGTCTGAAAGCAGTGATTCTTTCACTGACACCAGTACTCCTTCTGATTCAGATGATGATGATTACATTTACCAGGAGTTGAGTAAACTCACACAGTTTGCATCACCGGGTGTCCCTCTCTCATCATTAAACAAGCAAGATTCCTCTACAACAGAAACTCAAGGTGCAGCAAAACTCAGCCAGTATGAGAATGCAGATGAATCTACACCAAGACCAAATAAAAACAACTCAGTTTCGTCAAAAGCAGAGCTTGCAAAGCTTTCTGGTGGTGCATTTAGAGCACCATTCAGTAAGATGTCTAGCAGTAGCAATGATAGTCTGTATGATGCCAGTAGAAGAGTATCTGAAAATAGTAGTGTGATCATTGAAGGCTACATAAGTGATGCATCATCTGTCTCATCAGTGGACAGTGTTAAACCTAAAAAACAAATAAATATGCTTCATCAGGGTAAGGATGCATTTAGTCTGTTTCATGATTCTTTTTCCACCACTTTTACAAAAAATGAACATTTTCCCAAAAACGAATGCATGCATTTGTGGTCAAAACTCCTTGAAGACAGCTAAATTTGATTGTTTTTAACTGCCAGATTTGTCCATTGACCTATACTCGTGTCATCTTCTTTAGGACTTGGTCGTGGTAGAGCAATGAAGACTGCTCTTCATCACAAACACTCAGTATCTAGATCTTCTTCGGATGAACTGCTGGTCCGGACGTACAGTCCATCAAAAGATAACAGTATACAGGATAAAGGAATTCAGAAATTAGGACCACACAGAAAGGTAGTGTCAAATAATAGATCTCCTAGAGGTGAGAGTCCGAGACGAACACAACCTCAACCGAGATACCAAGATAAAGCACAGAGATGGAAAAGTCCTCAACGTACTGATAATATTCCAGCAAGGTTGTCAGATGCGCATTCCAGCGCATCAGAGATTCATTCTGATCTTGAGGGATGTAACAAGAAGGAGCAGGATTTCTTGAAGAATGAATATGAATGGCAGAAAAGTAAAATTGAAAGGAAGATAAAACAGGTGAGTCTAAATCTGGAAGCACACCTTATGTTTCAGTCAACTACTACCAATTTACGGTTGAATTTCACAGTTGGCTTATATAGGGAGTGTGGATACCTATGACTAAGATTAACCAATTGAAATGATATAGTGTGTGGAGTCTAATTGATGATATTCAAAGATCAGGACAAATGGCAAAAATGATGTTGTTTAGGAAAGATAAAAGAAGGTATCTCAAAATGATTTAAAATAACTGGAGATGGATAGAAGACGTGCATATCTTTAATTAACATATCACATTCAAGTCTCTCGCAAACATCACACATCTTGAGAGATGCTTGTACGTTCATTGGTTTCATGATTCGATTCAAAATAGTTGAATGGTGGCTTCTTTGATGTTTAAAAAGTCAGCAAAATGGAGCATTTCTGCCATTCCGAATCTTGGCAGTAGATAGATTTTGTTCATTACATACATTGAACATAATAGGATCTTTGTGCGCATTATTTTTGGACTTGTGAACTGACCTCTGTGCATGCCTGCGTACATCTGTGCGTCTATATTCAGCCATTGTCACACTTGGCTGATCAAGTTCAAACTTCATACATACATCAGATATTAGATCAAACAGTTGCAAGTGCATTTGTTTCATGAATGAAGAAGACCGAATGGTTTAACCAAATTTGGTTTAAAACTTGGTACATACATTGAACACATTGGGATCTTGATGTATATCATTTTATTTCAAAATGTTTGACTAATGGCCATTTTTAGTCACCACAATTTCACTTTTGTGCATCCATGCATTTGTGTGTGCATGTGTCGTCTAAATCTATCTCAGAGAAGCCTGGATGGATTTCATTCATTGGCAGCCATTTTAGTGCTGGCTGGCCCAATTCTATGTTTTTTACTTTAGAATTCTATCATGTAATTTGGTCTCCATTCATCTATAGTCATATTTCTGAACTAAATTCTTTCATTCTTTCCATATGCCTATTAAGGTTTAGTGATTTAATCCATCTTGTTTTTTTTAATAATGTGGTATCTCAGACATGCTTTGTCGATTTTCATTCAAATTTGGTACATACATTATACATATCTATGATGATTAATCTTGAGATTGGTTCAAAAATGGCAGACTGCAAGCCATCTTGTTTTTGAGAATGTCGTTCACATGTTTTTTTTTCTTCTTCAAATTATAAATGTCATGACAATTAGTTTCATAAAAATGGTTGACTGACAGTAATTTCCCGTTTTGGCCATACTATTGTCTCTTTCAATTATGTACTTTTTTCATTGACATTTTGTATCCCAAAATCAAAAGAATAAAAATGAAAGTAAACTTTAACTGATGCTCCAAGTTGTATATTCTCAAATATACTTTAATTGCATTTGGATACAAAAATTGCATAAATAAAAGAAATAGCAATACATCTGATTTTGTTAGTACTAGATTAGTCTATTATTCACTTACCATACACTACAAATCCATTCAGAAACAATTTACCTGGTCACATGACCAGTGATTTGCATATCTAATTTGATTGCATATATTATGCATGTAGCAATACATGTTCATAACAATTCAATCTGTGATCAGATAAAAGACAACAGACTTGCAGCCATTTTGCTTTTTGGCAATATTATTTTATCTTAGACATGAATAACATGCAATGGGGACTGTCATTAACAATAACTTGTAGTATTTTAAAATGTGAGCCTTTTTTTTTTACTACCAATCTTTGAAATTAACCCATTCATTCAACCTGCCCACTAACTTTATCATTTGAAATCTACTAAAATGATAAATTTCCCTTTGTTTTAATTAGCGTCACAAGAATAGAGACAGAAACATTGAGTACGTTCATATGTCATTAACATGAATGTCATAGCGTATTGAAAAAAATATGGTGTCAAAATGTGTCTTAAAATCTTGTATAACCTACCACGTCAGGATGCTTTGTTGATTGCCATTATGTGTGTTGTCTCACTAATTCAGCTGATTGACACCTTGAACAATGAGTGTTTTCAAACTGGTGGAATATAACAATTGAGAACAATCACAAAAACAAATGTCTATATTTCATCTACAAAAAAAAAAGCTGACAAAACTGTATGGCGCATTTTTGTGTATATATATACAATGAAGATTCATTATATTTTCAGATTTTGAAATTGTTGTCGCCAACTGCTACTGTTGAAAGTGCCAGAGAAATTGAGAAAATCATAACCACAGGTGTGTAATTCTTTGCTAAATATAGTAATGTAAAAGTTAAAGCTACTTGTGTTAACTACGTGGAATATAATTTATCCTTGTTTGTATCATGGTTTACATTAGTGAATGTAATAGTGGAATGAAAGGCGCCCTCTAGAGAGAATAGTTGTAATCTTATTGTAACCATCACAAACTAAAACAACTTGTACTACTTGGTAAATATATCATTTTATTCAGAGAATTGTGTTAATGGTATTTTAATTTGTGAATATCAATATAACAATATTTTCCTAGTTTGAAGGCAATTTATCATTGAACATGAAAATTGAGTGTATTTGATAAAACCAGTGCCAAAAGAGCCATCACTTGTCACAATTAGACAAGTAGGTGTCTTGCTATAAAGGTTGTCACTAACTCAGTCTGCTTATTTTAAATTACAGAAACATCCAAGTTGACTAGTTTTCCATGGCCAAAGGAATTATTTATCACTCTTGAAGTAATATTTGAGCATGCTATAAATGATTGTGAGCAGCATGATAATATTTGTGTTTTGATTCAACAACTTTCTGGTATGTACCTCAACCTTTAACTGGTCAAGTTAATGAAAAGTATTTATGGTGTTACGAGATGACCAATTCAAAAAAATTACCACACTTTGTATCCGCAACAACAAGCAAACACCCCTGTTTTAATGAGTAACTACTCTAACTCGTGAATTCAACAACAAAAAACTACCAATCAGGCATGTTCCGTACATAACACCATGTTTTATACAAGAAATACTAAAAAAAAAATGATCAGGACAGTAAAAATGAACACATCAACAAGTATACCCTAGATCAAGAGTTTGTACTTTGATTAAAAGTTCAACTTTTACTGAGCTCTCATTTTCACAAGTTCGTACTCTTTCACACGATGTATTGGCAAGAATGACGACCCGTTGGTCATGTGACTCTTTCTTGTAGATCGTTCGCATCCAATAACAGCAACTTACTACTCACAGAAAGATCAAAGATTCGCTCAGACTAGACAGCAACACAGGAAATTCACTGAGACATCAGACAGATCAAATAAATGATCCA